AGACTAGAAGGGATCTAGAGAAAAGAAAACCAACACAAGAGGACAAACAAGATATACCTAAGAACTCAAATACAACCAGAAAAAAAACACAAAATAGGAATCAAACCAATAAAATCAGAAAAGAAAGAAAAACATGGATCAAAGTGAAACAAAAAATTAAAAAAGAAACCTTAAACAGAACCAAAACCATGAAATGTGTGGTCAGAAGTACGGCTCTGGAGCAACCTGAGCTGTTCTTTAAAGACTTCCGTAAAGGTTTATTCCTGGGAACATCTAGAAGCAACAAAAAAGCTCAACATCCTTTGACAAACTTCTGATTGAGTTTATTCATTGAATAAATGGCGTATACAGAGTAGATATCCTTCATTTCAAGTATTCAATAAACTGAAACGTTTTTGTCCTACAGTATTTTCTTGTGCGGTATCTAAATGTAGAGCAGTCATCCTTAAAGACATCCTGATATGATCCGAGGATAAATTTACTTTAAAATACATTCAACTGAATTATAAACCCAAAACCAGAAAAATTACCACAAATCTCCCTTTCAACCATGATTAGCCTCTGAGAAAACAATCTTTTATGTCAAAGACACACTTCTAGTCATGGATATATTTTCTTTACAAAGAAGAACTGATATAGAAAGTAGAATATGCTGCAAAAAAAACAAAAAAAAAACACTCTCCCATCCAGATATAACATTTTGAAAACAGTCTTCTGCATTTAAGGAGCTGATCTTCATCCAGTGGTTTCTGGTTTATTTCTATGTTTTAAAGGAAACAGCAAACAAACAAATCAAACCACCATAAAATGACAAGACAGGTTACAATATGATTAGGAAAAAAATACGCTGATGTCATCCAGGTCATAATTATTCCAAAAAAAACTAAAATCAAGCCACTGGACTTTGTTTCCAAGTTTGAAGACGTTTCTCTTCCCAGCCTGGAAGTTTTTTCAATTCAAAATGTCAGAAATAGCGTTTAGTTCCAGGTTTTATCCAGCAGCCCAACAAAGCCTGGTTTTAGTTTAGAAAACATGCAAATAGAAACGGATGAACGGGTCCCCCCCTTTGGAATGGGGGTCGTTTGGCTTCTTTGTTAGCCTGCAATGCCCCATACCTGTCTATGTCTCTGAAAGGGGGATCGTTAGAGGGAATAGTTGGCCTGCAGAGATGGCAAAAGTACTCACTTTCTGTACTTGAGTAAAAGTACAGATACTTGTGTTAAAAAATACTCTGGTAAAAGTGGAAGTACTGATTAAACTTCTTTACTCAAGTAAAAGTAACAAAGTACAGGCTTGTAAATTTACTTAAAGTATAAAAGTAAAAGTAGAAACCACTTTTTTCATGCCGTTGCCTACATTTTAAATGAATGTCTGCCAATAGGACTAGATCTCCGTTGTGTTCATTTTCAATCATCTCGTCGTCCATGCTACTATGCTAACGCCACCGCCACCAAGCTGCAATGATTTGCCGCCAATGAATACCGCCGAATCTGTCGATTCATCTTGTAGTGGTGCGTCAAATGCAACGTAGATTCCCATCCAATTAGATTGAATTTGGTATTGATGACATGAAAAATAATAACGGTAACTCCATTGAAATGATTCAAAACTAAAGGAACGAGACAATTTTTTAAAATGTAAGGAGTAGAAAGTACAGATATTTGTGTAAAAATGTAAGGAGCAGAAATAAAAAGTCGCCATAAAAATAAGTAGTAAAGTAAAGTAAAAATATCAGAAAAATCTACTTGAGTACAGAAATTAAGTATTTGTACTTCGTTACTTCCCATCTCTGTCGGCCTGGCTGAATAGGTGAGGTCTTCTTTTCTCCTGTAAAGATGTTAGGGCTGTGATGATAGCGGGATCACTATTCCCCTCCATTCCAAAGGGGGGGACCCGTTCATCCGTTTCTATTTGCATGTTTTCTAATCAAAAGCAAGGCTTTATATGGCTACTAAATAAAACCTGGAACTCAACGCTATTTCTGACATTTTGAATTGAAAAAGCTTCCTGGATGGGAAGAGAAACGTCTTTAAACTCGGAAACAAAGTCCAGTGGATTGATTTTAACTTTTTTTGGGAGAATTAGAAAAAAAAAGGATTTAAACATTTGAAATTAATTAGCAACAATTAAACCACATTCTAAGCAATTACAGTCAGAAAACCTGAGAAAGCACATTCATACGGAACACCAAGAACATTTCCATCAAATTTACAATTTTTTCCTGAAAGCAAACGGCTGAAAAGAAGCACTTTCAAGGTGATTGAACCCATTCTTACCTCATAACCATTTAGGTTTATGACTAAATCTAGGAGAATTGGATGTTTTGTGTCACTCGGGCTTAAATTCTCTAATTAACTGTTTCAGTGTTTGAAATCAAAAAGGCAGGAATCAAAGGATTGTTAAAGAGAATAAATTAATGTTTCCTGTGTTTTCCTGTTTTAAATGAGATCCAGCTTCTGCAGTGTGAACATTCAGCACCGATGCAGGAGGTAGAACGTTCTGGATGCCATGAAGCAGAAGGCTTCAGGCTGATGGATGGAGGTGCAGCAGCTCACCTGTTGTTGCTGTCTTCTCTCAGATTTACAGTCTAAGAAGATTTAGAGTAACAGAAATTTATAGCAGCCAATTTCCATTTCTGTCACATAAAAGGAGAATTACTGGAAGTCTTCAAACATGCCACAAAAACAGTAAAAAGGAAAGTTAAAATAATGCAACTCTCAGAAACGGTTTTATTAGGTTAGAACATAACTGTTAGCTAATGTTAAAATATAAATATAATTTTAATTAAACAACTAGACCAACAAGTGATCAACTGGCTTAGTAAACAGACGGAGAAAAGACGGAAATAGCAGCTAGCTAACTGCCTGTAATTAGCAACAGCTAACAATCATTAGCAATCTTCTAGGCTTGTCAAAAATGATCAATATTTTACTGAACATAGATGTGGTTTTAATGGAGCAATTCTGCATTAAAAACGATTCTTAAAGGTTTAAAAAAAAATAATAATTTATGGAAAAAAGATTTTAGAAATTACAGGCAAACAAAACGAATATTAGCATTACACCAGCTAACCATAGCTATTAGATACGTAGACGCCTCATTGGACGCTGTCAGCAGTGAGGCCGATGGGCCTAGAGGGCGGCCATCTTGGATCAGACCACAGGTCAGGCAGCTGCTGTCAGAATGAACAGGAGGCGCCTTAGATCTCATTTTAATCACATGAAAAACGAGTCGGAGAAAATATTACAATAATCTCTGACATGTCGTAACCCCTTAAAAGACCGAAACTAATTTTAAAAGTACCTTTCAGTTAGATTATACAGATTTATTCAGATAAAAATCTATTTAAACTGAACTCCAACTGGATGAGATACATGCAAAGTTATATATTTTGCAATTAAATATGAATCTGATAAACACCAAATATATATTAATATTATTATTCAGTATTAAGTTTTATATCAATATATTATAAGATTACCTTTTACAAATATTATGTAGGTATATTATTAATTTTCAGTATTTTTAAGGATTGCACTTTGATGATGAATATTATGATCTATAGAGGATAATTTGTTGTAATTTGATTTAAAAAAGAGTATATTTTCTGTTAATTTTTATGTATTTTTTGTCATTGTCAAAGTTTTTTGTCAAATCGTAGTGAATGGTAAATTAATGTTGTGTCTAACTAAAGGCTTTTTGTTCCTATAAGTTTGTTTAAACTTCTTTCAAAACAGTTTTTCAACTTTTTTTAATCAATATTTATGCATCTGTGAACATTTGCTCTTTAATCGGCTAATTTGTGTCGTATATAGTATTATGCAAATACATCTCTCTCTCTCTCTCTCTCTCTCTCTCTATATATATATATATGTATATATATATATATATATATAGATATGACAAAAAATAGATTAAAAATTTATATTAAATTAATAATAAAACAATGTTTTAAATTTGGCTATAGATCATAATACTCATTATGCAAGAGCAATCCTTTAAAAACACTGAATAATAATTATAATAATAATAATATATATTTTGTGTTTATCAGATTAATATTTAATTGCAAAATATATAACTTTGCATGTATCTCATCCAGTTGGAGTTCAGTTTAAATAGATTTTTATCTGAATAAATCTGTGTAATCTAACTGAAAGGTACTTTAAAAATTGTTTCGGTCTTTTAAGGGGTTACGACATGTCAGAGATTATTGTAATATTTTCTCCGACTCGTTTTTCATGTGATTAAAATGAGATCTAAGGCGCCTCCTGTTCATTCTGACAGCAGCTGTCTGACCTGTGGTCTGATCCAAGATGGCCGCTCACGAGGCACGTCGGCCTCTCTGACAACAATGACGCGTCTACATATATAATGTCTATGCAGCTAACCACCAGCTAACGTTTCAATACCATTTGAATAACTATTTGAAATTATAGAACTAATAAAATATCAGCATGAAAGTTACTTTAGGATTTTAGAGCAGCTACAGCCTCAGGAACAGCAGCTAACCGCTATTAGCTTTAGAAACGCCCTTCTGGATATTAGAAATCAGCAGCCAACAGTAAATAATTGAACATAACTGGATTATTAAAGACAACCTAAATAATGAAATAACTTTGGCTTTGGAAGAAGAAGATGAATTTTGAGAACAAGGGAAGAAAGAAACTAGCATAGCTAGCACAAACTAGCACACTTTAGCCATCTATCATATCTTAGGTTTAAAAAGAAGAACGGGGCCCTAAATGAAAATTTTTAAAGTGTTTAATAGAATCTAAAAAATAATGGTCACTCCAAAGATAAAAGACAATTACCTGTTATTAGCATTGGTGGCAATTTAGTCCACAAATGTTCCTGCAAACCTTAAAATAAGTTTTAGATTTTATAAAGCACATAAGGACAGCACAAAAAATGGAAAATATAAAAAAGGAGATTTCTTCTTCTTCATGTTAAACATTTGAAAACAAATATTTACTTTAATGAATTGTGGTCATTTGCATGATTGGATTCATCCGTAGAGCTGAACCCTTGACTTAAACTCCTGATTTAGATTTTCTCAGGTCCGGTAATTTAATCATTTCCTGTAGCGTAGCTGTTGGATGTGCTGGTTAGCAGTTGAATTAGCGCTTTAGTTGTAGCCCTAAGCGCAGTGAGAGAGACTGAGCTTCAGCAGTCCCTCTGTGTGCATCTTGTAGAGGAGTTTGAACTCAGCCGGCAGCTGATGGGACTCCTGCCATTTGGTGGTGAACTTGGTGCCCTTCTTGTCGTAGTAGTGGTACGGTAGCTCCTTCCCAGTGTTGGGATCCCAGCCGAAGGGCCAGAATCCGTACAGATGAATTTGATCGCACATGGACGATGCCAGCGTGTACATCAGGATCCCAGTGCTCAGGCGCTTCGGAGACAACTGCTTGGTTTTCCAGTAACTGGAGAGAAAAGAACAGGAAGAGAATTACTTTCTCTCCAATAAAGCGGAATTAAGACAGGCTGGTTTAATGAAACAAGAGAAGATCTGACACCACTGTTGCTGGAAGCATCTTGCTAACCAGTTAGCAGCTTAGTGCTAGCAGGTTCCCAATGGGAAATTCCATTGGGACCAAGTAGCACTAAATTGAAACGACGCTGTCAAGGAACGCTATGGACAGCGGAAACATGCAAGAGGAGGAGAGTTTAGTGTCGGAGGTCGTGGATGAGTCTCCTCCGTCATCCATTTTTTATTTAGAGGAGGAAAGCGGGGACGAAGATGTTGTGGAAGAGGACGCCAGGGCGGCAGAAGCTTGGTTTGGTGTAGAAGGCTTCCAGCCGTACATGTTTGAGCCCTTGCCTCGCAACGCTGCCAGTTCTGTTAGCTCTACGCCTGCCGAAGACACAGACGTCCATCCCCGTGAACACTGGGACGCAACTCAATGGGAAAGGAAGGGATTCTGGTTTCAACCGTTGCGTATATTAGCTGCGACACATGAATCAAGATGCTATGACTGAAAAAAATTGATTGACAGATGAGTGTTGATATATGATTGGCCGAATTTAGGTGTTTAGGCTGACGTAGAACTAACAGGCCTGCAGAAGATAACGGAAAAAACACAGATTTTAAGACAGGATTTTTTGTTTTTTTGGATATTTTCTTAATTTTGGGACAATATGGTCTGATAAAGAGTACATTTATATACATGTTTAAGCCAGAATAATCTAAATATGATTTCCCTACAACTTTGAAACAGCCTGAATTCAGAGCAGTTCTTAGTTCTGGCGAAGCTACTGGGGTTTGCTGACGGTTTCAGAATAGGACTTACGTTGGCTCTACCTTTCTTAAATCTCATCCAATATACTCAGGTTATCCTGAGCTATAGTTATAGCATATATAGCTAACTATAGCATATAGTTCTGCTGCTATAGGCTTAGACTGCTGGAGGACATAGTTACCCCTTTTTCATCATTCTGCTTCATTCTATCTCTATTCTCCCACTCTGCAGAATCTGTTAGTTCAATCTCTAACGTTCTGCTCTCTCTGCTTTTTCTCATAGTAGCTTCATCTGGTCTGTTCCTGTTTGGCTGTGACTCCATCCTGGAGAGAAATATCAGCTGTGCTGCTGCCATCAACACCTTTGTTTCTAGATGCTGGAGCTTGGCCTATTTTCCAGTGTAGTCCTGTTTCTCTGACTGTGACTAACTGGATGTGCTCTCTTCATCCTCTGACATGGGAGCTGGCTCGGAGCTCGTCTGCCTGGCTGTGTGTTTCCTGGACGGGGCCGCCTGTGGAGCTGGTTGACAGTTGCCTTTTGTATCTATGCTTCTTTTTCTATGTCTGCTTCTGTCTCCTTGAACCCCAGTGGGCCTCAGCAGATGGCCGCTCACACTGAGCCTGGTTCTGCTGGAGGTTTCTTCCTGTTCAAAGGGAGTTTTTCCTCTCCACTGTCGCTACAAGCATGCTTAGTGTGAGGGATTGCTGAAGAGTCAATGAGTCGATGCAATCAGCTGGTTTTCCTTAGATAGAAAACTTTGAATCAATCTGACTGGATGATCTGGTGGAATTATCTCTATAACGTACTTTGAGATGAGCTGTGTTCAGAATTGTCTCTATAGAAATAAACTGAATAGAAGTTAACTGTAATTCAATCATTTCTCCAGACGTCTGAGAACCCAGATATTCCGGATCCTTCTTAGCTTTAATAAATCCAGATACTTTAGCGGTATTTTTTTATTTGTTTTCTTTCCTGGTCATAAAAATGTTCTCTTTGTAATTATTTTGCAGATGAGTATTTGTTTGCTTATTAATGGAAGAATTCTTTGCTAATTTGCATAACAGATAAATCCTGATAAATACACAGGAATCTCCTCCTCTCTGATGATACGTCACAGAAATTGCTCCCAGGAAAGGAAGCTTTCATTTCATCAGATCGATGTTTATGGAGTTATGAGACCGATTGTTTTGATTATAGAAATCAATCCGCTTGAAACCAAAATGCATTTGTTAAACTGCAGTAAATAAAAGCAAATCCACTCCGATCAGCAAAGCGTGGACGCGTTAAAAGAAAAACAGGCTCCTTTCCTCCATTCCCGGTGTTCCCATAATGCGGCTTTGAAGGCACCACAGAGGGGGAGACACTCCAAACTGTCCTGGACAAAAGCGTCTCCAGGAGACCTGAAGCTGCAGAGAACATGGTCATTCTTCCACTGCAGCGAGATTTAATGGGATTGCTGAAGATTAGCTCATTCTTACCAGCAGCCTACTTAGCTGCCACACCATTAAGCAGCACACTAAATCCCTTCCCTCACTGTTACAGCTGCCTTTCACTCCCGCCGTTAAATAGCTGTTTCCTCATAATCCAGCTTTGAGGCCAAATTTCCTCTCTGCTGTAAAAACATAGCGTGAAGCTCCTGAACAACAAAAGCGTGCGTTCGCTCCTGGAAATGACTAGAAACAGGACTGGGACACGATGAGGGAAGGGAGCGAATGCTGTGAGGCAAAAGAACTGGCTGAGTCTTTATATAACTCCAGTACTAGGAAAAAAGTACTCACACCCTCTGAGGTGTTAAACACATAATCCTGGAATAATAGCGGATGCTACTGCAGCTGTTGGTGAGACGTATCCTGTTCACTTCCTGTTTTGACTGCTGAGCTGCGTTGTTTTTCTGAATTAAGATCTTTTTTTCTGTGATATCTCTGTATCTAATAACTCTAACCTCCAAGAAGCTATTTAAAACATAGCGCCTTCTGCTGAAGCACTTTTGGCTTTCACACAAATTTAGTTCCGGTAGTAAGTCCAAAAAAGTACAAAATAAAACAATCCACTGGACTTTATTTCCAAGTTTGAAGACGTTTCTCTTCCCATCAGGAAAGTTTTTTAAATTCAAAATGCCAGGAATAACGTTGAGTTCCCGGTTTATCCAGCAGCCCAACAAAGCCTGGTTTAAGTTGATGTTCAACTTAATCAACTCAACTGTTGCATTGTAGGTTTTTAAAATCTAAAATCTGAAGGCCTTGTTTCCCTCCCCCAGCAGTATGTCGCAGTGAGATTGTCGCAGATATTTTTTGATTTATGCCCAATATTGAAGCGTGGTTTCCGCTATGTTATTCCATGCCACAACGCCAGAGGGCCAATCAGGAACTAGCTGTGGGTCTAGATACGGCCGAGGCGGTGAGGAAGTTTGGGCAAGTTTGTGCGACAACGGAGGGACATGAGGGCCAAAAAGAGCGGAGATCCAGGTGGAAAAAGGGTCCCAGCGTTCTCGCGCACCTCGCTCTGCTAGCTCCATCTTCACCAGTCGTTTTCCACAATGGCGGTCAGACAAACAAAACAAGCCGGTAAGGAACCAAACAGGAAATACGGATAGAATAGAGCGGATGTAGATTTGACCAATCAGAGGCCTCCTGTCTGCGCTCACCTACAATTGTGGAGAGGTGCAGCAGGTCGTCTGCGTTCACTGCGATGCAGACGACCTGGTTTCTGAGCATAAATCAACCTAATTGTGAACATTCTGGTCCTCCAAAGAACGTCCTTTGTCTATAAGCTGTAGATGTACTAAGAATCTTCACCAGCATCCTGGTAGTAAGGAGTAGCTAGCCTAGGCTAGCGCTACCTTAGCATCGCTATGGTTTCTCTCTCTCCCTCCCTTGACTCTTTTCCAACTCTTCCTTCTTCCTCTCCTCTCTCTGTATCAGATGTTCAGTTATTCCTCTGCCTCCTGTAGTGATAATGGGATGTGTAATAAGTGTAGTATTTTAGTAGCTTTGGAGGCGAGGGTGTCAGAGTTAGAATCCAGGCTTCAGGCTGTTGAACATCCAGGAGGTAAAGTAGGCCCCCCACGTAGCTGTTGTAGAGTTGATAAGGAAGCTGAGACTCTTGCAAGAGAATGTTCAAATTTATCTAACGTCCTCAGAAGGAGAGATAGAGCTCTGGCTGGGCAAAGCTCAGTACATACTTTTATACAGCAACTTCCAATACACACACACTCCCTGGGAACTATCCCACCCCTGCATATAAAAAACTTTCTCACACACGAACATTTGGAGGAAAAAAGCTTGAGTTCATCAAGGCCGTTCCTTGATGGTAGGTTCATATATCTTTCACTGGCCAGATAGATCTCCTAATAACAGCAGTCCTACCCTTCCTGCCTTGAAGGAGGCTGCGACTCATTCTTATCTCTTATGAGCTTCATTTGGAGCCTGTGAGGCTAAGAACAGACCAATTTCTAACCAATTTTCCCCACTCAGTGATGCACCCATTGATTGCTTGGCCACTGACTGGACCGGCCCTCACCAGAGAAACATGAGCCACCCGTCCTCAGCCGGAAGAGGGGGGCGGGGACCGGTAAGGCAGGACGCAGGTGTCCAGGCTACCATCACCGGGTCGCTGCTTCCCTCGCTGGCTTCCTGTTTTGACTACGTGCTGCACTAACCTGACTCCACCAGATGGATTTGCTCCGCATATCCATCTGGAAACCTTCCGTTGAAGTAATTTTGGGAAGGGGTGAAAATGCTGGTTAGCTGATTGGCCTATGTTGGTGATAGACGGGCCAAATAAACCAATCAGATCAACGAAGCATATGATGTACTAACAGAGCGACGACGAAGAGGAGCCAATTGATAGATCAAACTCTTGCTGAAACCAGTCGGGAGAAGAGCAAAATCATCTTTTCCTCTGAGAAAAGCCTCCAGAGCAGTGTTTTGCTCTTCTTTCAGTGAAGAAATACTCTGTAATTCCCATAAAACTTGCTCGGTAGCCACGCTAACGCTAGTTAGCCGCCATGTTCTTTAAACTGAACTGTCGCGCTTCTCGTTGCGTCACACCTCAACCCGCCTCAAAGCCAACGCTGATTGGACGTTCGTTTGGTGAACGGCTCCAAATTTTCTTTAACGGAGAGTCTCCAGACTGATCTGCGAGTGAAACCTTGAAAGCTCGCGAGATCAGGATGGTCTCACGAGGCTAGTGCTGCACTGTAGTCCATTAATAACTACAGTTTTCTGACAGTTTGAACTGAAAAATCTTCCTGGATGGAAGAGAAACGTCTTCAAACTTGGAAATAATCACTGTTTTTTCTGCTTACTTGTTGATGTATTGCATGATGTTTCCAGGCCAAGCCAACTGGACCTTCAGCTGGCCCCGATGTTCCACGAAGAAGTCGACCAGCGTCCTGGTCACCGTGGCTGATGTATGGAAGAAAAACGCTGGGATCCAGAGGATGGCTCTGTCCAGCTTCTTCAGGCTCAGGAAGAAGTTGTTCCTGTCCTGAACAGTCAGCAGGTTGTTGTAGTATTTCTCCAGGATGCTGGGGTTAAAGGTTGTCATGTTGGTCCGACGCCCAACGTCCTTCTTAAAAATCTCTGTTGGAGCAAAGTTGCATCGGAAAACAAAGTCATATTTCTCTATCTGGGCGCCGCAGCGCGAGCCGGTGAGGATGCCGCTGTTTCCCACCACGGCGCAGACGTTGTACTGCTTGTTTAGGATGGGGGAGACCTCTGGGAGGAGCGATCGGAAGTTCTCGCCGATGGAGTAGACGTACTTGTGGCTGGAGTAGTCGAAGTGCATCAGCTGTCCGACTCTGACGGAGTCTCGGGTCAGCGTGAAGTTACGGGGGATGTCGATGTACTGAGAAATCTCCGTCCTGTAAGACACGGCAGCAGCTTTATTAGAAGCTTTCAACTGATGGATTTCTCTTCCCTGCTGCAAATGCATCAAAACCAATGAATATAAATGATGGCGGAGGGGTGCAAACTGCAAACTAGGGCTGCAATTAAAGATTATTTAGCTTTTTTTTTTTTCAATTAGTCGATTAATAATTGGATGACAAAAGGTTCCTTAATGAAAACGTTTTATGGAATCAAATCAGGTGAACTTGAGTTCTGGATAATGGAGCAGGTTGACAGACAAAAACGTTTTTTGACAATTATTTCAATAATCGATTAATCTGATTGATTGTTCCAGCCCTAGTTGCAAACTTTACACAAATAAGATCAGCTGCAAACTGGATCCATTAAACTGAACTGGTCCAGACCACTTTAGGGAAAAGACCATTAACTCCAACAGGAGCAGACCTTCGATGCGACGTAAACTAGACGCTCAGACAGAGGAAATATTAAGATAAATTTACCTTTTGGACGAGCATCTTGCTTAGAGGATCATCTAAATAAGTGGTGACCTGCCTCCTATCAGGGCCTGATGGGAGAATTTCTATTTTCATTTTCTCAGAGTTATTTCATTGTCTGCTGTATGTTTGTTGTTTATGACATCACTGTGTAGTAAAAGAGAAGTTAGTTCACCTCTGTTTCAGCAGAACAGGCTTAGATCACTCTGTCTTTTCTCATCCTTTGTTAACTGGTTTTAGTCATATGAGATTTTTATTCCATTTACAAAATGCCTTGGCTTAAAATGTAATTTTTTTCTGGAGAAAAAAAATCTATTTTTAAAGGAAAAGTCGCTCATATTCAGAATTCAAACTTCTGAAAGTTCTTTAAATCTGAAATGATTCCATCCTGTTCAATAAATGATCAGTGTTTTTAATTCAGAGTCATTTTCATGTGAATGTGCTTTACTGGAGGCATCCATGTTTGTCAAAGAACACTACTGCCACCTACTGGTTAGTGACATTGTCACGGTGCGGTATCGGCTGTTGATCAAGTCCCAGTGCTGTATCTGGTGTTTGTCACAACGCGCTATTATCCAAGTCATCTTGAAAACATTCTTCTTCCAAATGTTGGCTACATATTACGGGTTTTTTCTCTGGCCAGAAGTTCGATGGCAAATCCTCCCTCTTCAAGTTGGCGATCCAACGACCAACCCGTCCGTGGAGGATCAGGAATCAGAAAGGTGGAATAACTCTTTTTTTCACTTTTACCCGATGTATTCCAGCATCCAGCTGCCATGCACGTGGGCATTGTCAGTTTCACTATAGCTCTGGTGAATTTCAATGGTGAAGTCCTCTGGAAATCTTCAATAATTGTTGTTGATTGCAGATGTGTCTAGTAGTTCCCATTGATTTAGCTTGTAAAGCGGGGAGAATGGCGCTAGGCTTACCGCACCGTGATGTCACTCAGTGACTCAGTGATAGTGACGAAAATTATTGCTTTTTTACTGATTAACGCTAAATTCATTAAATCACCGCAAACGTATTAGTTTTAGGTATAAATAATGATTCATTGGTTATGTCTTGCTCACCGGACTTTTCCTTTAAGTGAACTGTGCTCTCTTCATCCTCTGACATGGGAGCTGGCTCGGAGCTCGTCTGCCTGGCTGTGTTTCTCCTGGACGGGGCCGCCTGTGGATCTGGTTGACAGTTGCCTTTTGTATCTATGCTTCTTTTTCTATGTCTGCTTCTGTCTCCTTGAACCCCAGTGGGCCTCAGCAGATGGCCGCTCACACTGAGCCTGGTTCTGCTGGAGGTTTCTTCCTGTTCAAAGGGAGTTTTTCCTCTCCACTGTCGCTACAAGCATGCTTAGTGTGAGGGATTGCTGAAGAGTCAATGAGTCGATGCAATCAGCTGGTTTTCCTTAGATAGAAAACTTTGAATCAATCTGACTGGATGATCTGGTGAACTGGAAAGTGAACTGAGATGACATGATGTGAATTGGAGCTATAGAAATAAACTGAATAGAATTTAATTCTTCATCTGTAGCACTTCAGAAGCGTTCTGTTCATCAATCTGAGGCCATTTTGCTAAAAACTGGTTAGACTGCGTGCGGCTTCGGTGTCGGTGTTGCCATACCTGAGTTGCGTGAAAGCGCTGCTGTTGTATCTCCATTTGGAGGAGTTCTGCAGGTCTTCGTTCAGAGCGTTGGTCAGAGGAGTGAAGTCTGGATCCAGATACTTCATGGCCAGCTGGGAGCTGCAGAGCAACAAACTGCATCAGGAACCTCATTCTCTCCACATCAATCGCTTCTCAGAAGCATTTTAGATCCTTTAGATTCTCTTCAAATAGATTATTTTTCATCTGAAAATATTTAGCACCTTCATATGTTGATTAAAAACAGTTAAATTAGGACAAATCTGAGCCATAATCAGACAGGTTTAAAGGTTTCAATCAGAAAAGATGGTCCAATTGTTAGTTATATCTCTGCTAACTCGGAACGGTTTTAATTTTTTCAAAATGGCTCCAAATTAACCCATAAAACACAAACTTCTGTCATTTAACAAACAGTAATAAGCTGGAAAATGTTTATCTGCCTCTGGGTCAAACAATTTCTCTTCTCCCAGTTAAATCAAATGTTACCATCATAAAACCAGTCTGATTATGTGCTTATAAGAAGCAAACTGACATCAGAACTAAGAGTAAAAAGCTAACTTTCAGTTAGCATAAAGCGCTAAAATGCGCTAAAAAGGACTCCAACAATTTGCCGTTTAAATTTTTGAAATCATTCTTTTGCTTTAGAGAACCAGATGCTTTCAAACCGGTTTCATTTACACCATCAGCTCAGTGTAAATGCAGACTTCTGGTCTCTTTTCTCTATGAGAAACATTCCTTTTTATTCAAAGCGCAAATCAATTCAAACTTATGCTCAGCAGTTAGCATGAAGCCAAAGTGTTGCAGCAAAACAGCTCATCTCATTTACAGTCTTACGACCAAATGTTTAACAAAATATTACTCATTTGGATTTCTTTATTAATCCTGATCCTGTTTTTATGCTCTCTATATTACGACAGAGTATGAAGGACATTTTGAAAACAAAGTTGTAAAATTACGAGAATAAAGTCATAACATTTTGAAAATAAGGTCATAAAATTACGAGAATAAAGTTGTAACATTACAAGAATAAAGTCGCAACGAGACTATTCATAAAGTTACAAGAATAGTCATAAAATTGCGAGAACAAAGTCAGAAAATTAGGAGAATAGTCATAACATTTTGAAAATAAAGTAATAAAATTACGAGAATTAAGTCGTAAAAATTACAAGAATAAAGTCGCAACGAGACTATTCATAAAGTTACAAGAATAGTCATAAAATTGCGAGAACAAAGTCAGAAAATTAGGAGAATAGTCATAACATTTTGAAAATAAAGTAATAAAATTACGAAAATAAAGTCGTAACGTTACAAGAATAAAGTTTCAACGAGACTATTCATAAAATTATGAGAATAAAGTCGTAAAATTACGAAAATAAATTCGCAACGAGAATAGTCATAAAATTACGAAAATAAAGTCATGACATTTTGAAAACAAAGTTGTAAAATTACGAGAATAAAGTTGTAACATTACAAGAATGAAGTCGCAACGAGACTATTCATAAAATTACAACAGTCATAACATTTTGAAAATAAAGTAAAAAAATAACGAGAATAAAGTCGTAAAAATTACAAGAATAAAGTCGCAACGAGACTATTCATAAAGTTACAAGAATAGTCATAAAATTGCGAGAACAAAGTCAGAAAATTAGGAGAATAGTCATAACATTTTGAAAATAAAGTAATAAAATTACGAAAATAAAGTCGTAACGTTACAAGAATAAAGTTTCAACGAGACTATTCATAAAATTATGAGAATAAAGTCGTAAAATTACGAAAATAAATTCGCAACGAGAATAGTCATAGAATTACGAAAATAAAGTCATGACATTTTGAAAACAAAGTTGTAAAATTACGAGAATAAAGTCATAACATTTTGAAAATAAAGTCATAAACTTACGGAGTAAAGTCGTAAAATTCGTAAAAAGTCCAACAAAATGTAATATTGCTGTTATGTTCTTCAAAAGACAGTTAAAAATGTTAATTTTCAGATTTTATAAGTAGCAGCTTAGCATTTTAGCATCCTGTACATGGATAATTGTATATAGTAGCTTTCTTAAATGTACAAAAACAGTCCCAATCATTAGAAATGTTTGTTCTATTTTTATTTTCAGGGAAAGTAAAAAGTTGAAACACAACCTATATTTATAACTTGTAAACTGTAACTGCTTATCTTCTTTCTTCTTTTCTACATTTTTTAGCTCAGTTAGCTAGGCTAAACATGTTAGCATCTGTGTCTGCACTGGAAAAAGAGAACAAAAATCTGAAATGGTTATTATATTTGGTACGACACAGTATTAGGGCTACACTAGAGATTTTTTTTCTTCTATTTTGAGAATAAACTCGTAAAATTAAGAGAATAAAGTCGTAGGCTAATATTAAGTGAATAAAGTATTGTATTGATACTTCTATCTGACTGGGATATAAGAAAGTAGTCTAAAAAATATAATTGTTTATTGAATTTTAACTGTAATATCTGAAACAGCTATAAAAGTTCAATTTGTCACTTTTGTGGTTTCTGTCGTTTTGTTGCCTTATTTGTTAGCTCAGTTTGCTAGGCTAAACATATTAGCACCCTTGTGGGACCTAAACAAATGTCTAAAATATATAAAAAATTATGTAATCTTAAAATTTCACTTTAAAATAATAATTTAAAAAAGCAACACTACATTTCATTGGTCTAAATTTAAAGTGCACTATTGCTTAATCTGGCAATAAAAATACATTTAAAATTATAAATCATGTTCATAATGTACAAATCAATGTAGGCAGCTTTATATGACTTCATAGTTAGTAGTTTCAAATATAAATTTTTCAAGTCATTTGGTTTGAAAAGTTGAAAAAAATCTTGTTTAAAACTGAGATGAAACTGTCAATAAAACATAAAGACTATTTTAATCTTAAATGTTATAGCTTTAGCCTGAATGTTTCAAACAATAAAACTATGTAAATTTAAAAACTGCTATAAAAACTCCTGTTAGGCAATAAAAAAGTTTAAACTTTTCCAATAAACCCAAGGGTGCTAAATAAATATAACCTTACATGCAATAATAAAAAAAAACATACTTGGGATTTTTTCATGACCAATTATAGTTGCTGCTTATAATGTATAAACAGGATGTTGGGAACTGGATGTTTTGAGTTCCTCATGTTGGCAAACAGGCTGGTTCAGCCAAAGAGAAGCGCTGCTGAATCAGAAACAGCATGAGATTTGGCCACAAACAAAGAGTGTTTCCGTTTATATCTTTTATTTGGCTTTTTTTTTTTCTTTAATACAATAAAAACAACTCTGACACAGTTCTGTGTTTGAAAGTCCTCCTTCAAAATGTCAGTTTTCCAAATAAATGTGATTCTGAATCTCTGTCCTTTCATGCTGTTCCTAAATCAGCATCTTTCACTCAACTTTGCTTCGTCTCATTTGTGACACAAAGTTGTTACAGTCGGCTGCTGGACGGCAAAACAGACCAGAAGCAAAAGTCTTAGAGGAAGGAATCAGACAGACAGACAGAGTGAGTGAGACAGACAGACAGACAGAGTGAGACAGACAGAGACAGAGTGAGACAGGCAGGCAGACAGGGTGAAACAGACAGACAGACAGAGTGAGACAGACAGACAGACACACAGACAGACACATAGACAGACAGGGACAGGCAAACAGACAGTAGCAGACAGACGGGCAGACAGAGAGACAGACAGAAGCAGACAGACAGAGTGAGACAGACAGACAGACAGAGTGAGACAGGGAGACAGACAGAGTGAGACAGGGAGACAGACAGACAGACAGAGGGACAGACAGACAGAGTGAGACAGGGAGACAGACAGAGTGAGACAGGTAGACAGACAGACAGACAGACAGACAGACACAGAGACAGACAGAAGCAGACAGACAGGGAGACAGAGTGAGACAGGTAGACAGACAGACAGACAGGCAGACAGAGAGACAGACAGACAGACAGACAGAGAGACAGACAGGCAGACAGACAGAAGCAGACAGACAGAGTGAGACAGGGAGACAGACAGAGTGAGACAGGTAGACAGACAGGCAGAAAGACAGGCAGAAACAGACAGACAGACGGACGGACAGAGGAATTGGGAGGTCCTGGTCATTACAGGAAGTATAACTCTGTATTCACCTCAGGTCAGGTTTTCGAGGTGGCCTCTCGCTGCAGCAGAGATGATAGAAAACAGCATAAACAGCATCTTACTTCTTATCTACGTTATTAAACCGAAACCGAGTTTTAAAAAAAGACATTTGGTTCAGAGGAACTAATTCAACACACAAACGCTGCATGCAGTTAGAGAAGAAATAAAATGAAACGCTCTTAGTGTGACTGAATGGAGCTCCAGCTTTACAGACACCTGTTCAGTTCCACAGAAAGATGTCTTTACATCAGCAGAGGTCTGATGAGGTCAGAGCACAAAGTATTCACACCCCTTTTCTACAATGAATTAATAATTTATTATACATTTACTGAAGACTGACTTGTTTCTCTGCTGCAGGAACAGAGAAACAATTTCGAATACATCTAAAAAGGTTAAAAAAATTATTTTTTGATAAACTCAGAGGTTCGCCAGCACTGGAGAAGGTCAAATGTGTTCAATAAGATCCAATCTTAAAGCAAAGCAAATGATACGAATGTCACCAATTTGTCTGTGATCCCGGTCATGTTCTCCTCACCGTGAAGCTTTGCCAGTTCCTTGTCCAACTTCCTGTAGACAGCTAACGGTAGACAGCTAACGATAGACAGCTTAACGATAGACAGCTAACGATAGACAGCTAACGATAGACAGCTAACGATGGACAGCTAACGACAGACAGCTTAACGATAGACAGCTAACGATAGACAGCTAACGATGAACAGGTAACGATAGACAGCTAACGATGGACAGGTAATGATAGAAAGCTAACGATAGACAGCTTAACGATAGACAGCTAACGGTAGACAGCTAACGATAGACAGCTAACGATGGACAGCTAACGACAGACAGCTTAACGATAGACAGCTAACGATGGACAGGTAATGATAGAAAGCTAACGATAGACAGCTAACAATTGACAGCTAATGACAGACAGCTAACGGTAGACAGGTAACGTAGACAGCTAACGATAGACAGGTAACGTAGACAGCTAACAATAGACAGCTAACGATAGACAGCTAACGGTTGACAGCTAAAGGTAAACAGCTAACGGTAGACAGCTAACGACAGACAGCTAATGATAGACAGGTAACGGTAGACAGGTAACGTAGACAGCTAACAATAGACAGCTAAAAATAGACAGCTAACGATAGACAGCTAACGGTTGACAGCTAAAGGTAAACAGCTAACGGTAGACAGCTAACGACAGACAGCTAACGATAGACAGGTAACGGTAGACAGGTAACGTAGACAGCTAACAATAGACAGCTAACAATAGACAGGTAATGGTAGACAGCTAACAATAGACAGCTTAACGATAGACAGCTAACGGTAGACGGGTAACGTAGACAGCTAACAATAGACAGCTAACAATAGACAGATAACGATAGACAGCTAACGGTTGACAGCTAAAGGTAAACAGCTAACGGTAGACAGCTAACGACAGACAGCTAACGATAGACGGGTAACGGTAGACAGGTAACGTAGACAGCTAACAATAGACAGCTTACAATAGACAGGTAATGGTAGACAGCTAACAATAGACAGCTTAACGATAGACAGCTAACGGTAGACAGCTTAAGGTAAACAGCTAATGGTAGACAGCTAACGACAGACAGCTAACGGTAGACAGCTAATGACAGACAGCTAATGATAGACAGCTAACTAAAGACAGCTAACGGCAGACAGCTAACGATAGACAGCTAACGATAGACAGCTAATAGTAGACAGCTAACGACAGACAGCTAACAATAGACAGCTAACAATACACAGCTAACAACAGACATTTTAACATCCAAAATGTCTATCGTTAGCCAAAATGTGAACATTCTGGTCCTCCAAAGTATGTCCATTGTCCATAAGGTGTAGATGTAGCGCAGAGTCTTGTCCAGAGGAGGGAGCTCTTCTGTGTTGGACAGGTTGTTTGGTTTCTCCAATATAAAGATCAGAGCATTCCTCGCTGCACTGAACTGCAGACACCACTCTGGTCTTTGGGACGCACTAGTCTCGGTTTAAGGGTCAGTTTGGTTTGAAATGTTCTGGGATTTTGTGTTTGGAGAAAATCCCCTTGATATTTTCAGAGCCTCCAGCAACATCTGGGATGGAGATATTTGAAAAGATTAAACACAAAAAAATCGCCATCCCATACGATGCTGGAGTCTGAAAAACTCAAGAGGATTGTTTTTTAACTTTTTGGGAACTTCATCTGTTTTTCAGTGTTTAGTCCTGTTACTCTCCTAGACATAGCTATGGGCTCAGCTTTTACTGCAGCCAACTGGGTGTTCGCTCACATTTTCTACATAAACGTCTAAAACATTTCATATATTAACACTCTACTTCTTCTGGTGTCATTCTAACTGTTTTAACCTGAAGTTCCTTTGTAGCAACACCTGCTGATTGACGAGTAAATTGCAGGAATTCCTCTGATCAGCACTTTGGTTTATTTGTCACGTCTCCCCCCATGCCTCTGTATTTAAGCTTACTTGTTCTCTTTATTCTCCTTCGGTTCGTTTTGTTGTTCTTTTCTAAAGCCCATTTCATTTCCTCTGTTGACCTTCTGTTTCTCTGCCTGTTATTTTCACTATATCATCCATTATCTGTTGATTGTTTCTTTTTTTAGTATCAAAACTCTCACCTCTTTGCCCCTGGGTCTTTCTCACAGCAAACCATGACATGTTATGTATCTTTATGATCTGACTGCTGACTTAGCACAGTGAAACATGCTGTATACTCCCACCAGGGGCATCAGTTACTTCCTGTTTTCTTCTTAAGCAGTCAATCTCTCAGGTAATCAATGGTTTAATCAACAAGAAAGCAACATGGAAGTCCGGTTGCCTCAGGAAAACTAGAAATCTCCAACATATAAACACTATCTATCTAATTTGTCTGCACCATCAACACCAAGTCAAATTCCTTGAAAGTTCAAACCTACTTGGCAAAAAACTTGATTCTGATTCTGAAACCTGAGAGGTTTGTCATTGTTTTAGCCTCTGCGGCTCATATTTACATTATGCCAGGTATAACCACAGGTTTTTCCATTTTATGCAACAGACTAACAGAAAGTATTGCATAGTTCAGAACTGAGTAGACATTGGGGTTTTACATCTTTTGAAAGTGTGGAAGGATTTTATATTCATCCCTACCTCTTAGAACCGCATCTCCCTACAGGTCTATTAGGAAACGTCTCTATCAGACACTTTCTTTCTGCTCTTCATCTCAGTGCCAGGGGCGGATTTAGGAAATTTGGGGCCGTAAGCTCCAAATGGAGAGAGAAGACAACACATAGAACAGCCCCATTCTCCAGATAGAGAAATGTTACTAGAATAGACATCCATTATCTGTTCTAGGTTGTGTCCCTCTCTTCTTGTCCCTTTTCTTCTTGTTTTCCTCTCTATGTTTTGTACTCAGCTGACTTTTCATGCTGTCTCTAAAGGAATGGAAGATTTTTTCCAAGCACTAAGCTCACTTAGCTGATTGCTCCTTCCTGTGTTTCCAAAAAGGCCAAAGTAAATAACCCAGTCCTTCTTTTCACTGTAGACAAGCCATGATCTGCTTATCTGTTCTCCATTTTTCATTTGGATGAAATAATAGCTGCATGAATCATGACAGCAGACAAGATAGAGGAGAGCAGGAGGCGGGGTTACCAATCTACTCGCTCTGGAGAGCAGAGTTCGCTGCTTTTAGATGTTGTCTCCAAAGTCTCCAGTAGCAGAAAAAAGTCTCTAGATTTGGCGCTAGGAGCTTTTTAGAAATCAAAGTGCTAGAGGGGTCTGAAAAGTGGCTAAATATAGCGACTAAAGCGCTAAGTTGGCAACACTGCTCTTTGCATGGTTTGTTTTCAAATGGTTTGCTGCTGTCTGTTTGGACCTTTCTGAACATGTGCAGCAAATGGACTGATCCAATATGCTGGACACTTTCAAAAAGCATTGACTTTATCTTGCGACTTTATCGCTTTATCTTTTCATGGCTGGGTTAACTTAAAGACTGTGGTCCCAATGTGTGGACTTTGAAACTTTTACACTTTTGAAAACACTTTTGACCTGGCTTAATCTAACATCAAAGATGCATTCAGAGCAACTCCCCGCCCCCACCTTGGGTCCTCAGATCACCTATCTATCATGCTAATTCCTGAATACAGGCCCCAGCGATTCAGGGCTAAACCAACAGTTTAAGAAATCAGAGTGTGGTGTGAGGGGGCCATGGAGAAACTCCAAAAATGTTTTGAATGCTCTGACTGGAACATGTTCAAAGAAGCAGCAAACTATGATAACAAGATAAATATGGATGATTATACCATGACTGTCTCGGCCTACATCAACAAATACATTTAAGACATCAACACCACAAAGAACATCATCAATGTGATTGGTTCACCATCAATCACATGGTGAAGTTTGCAGACGACACCACGGTGGTGGGCCTCATCAGAGACGACAACAACCAGGACTACAGAGAGGAGGTGGAGCAGTTTACTGATGACATCACCACATCCAAAGCTAGTCTGGAGCTGCATTTCACCTCCTGTTATTAATAGTCTCTAGATAATAATACATTATGACTTCTTCATTTAGTGGAGCAATAATAATAATGAATAATAATGAATGTTTTAAATAAATATAAAACAATCAAACCTCCATCAGAGCAGCGGTCTTTCACAAACGGCTATGCGGTGAGAGGGCTGCTGCAGACGGGATAGGATTAAACATGGTTGCAGCGGTCATCTATACTTCTGATTTTATTTTTTTTTATTATGCACTAAATCAGTAAATGTTCCATATAGTGAAGCTTAAAGTATAGTGATCTTAAAACGTACTTTTATTGAACAACAGCAACAGAAAAGAGAACTTTTGACTTAATCCTCTGAGCTCTGTGAGCGCTAACCTGGAAGCTGCTGCTGCCGCAGTGCATGCTGGGTAAAGAGGGAGGGGCCAGAACAACATCCGGGGACTTTGTTCGTTCTCGGTCTGCTGTTCTAGTGAACTGGAACAGTGCTAGGGCTGAGGATGATGACGTTTCACGAGGACGCAAAGTGCACATAGTGAGAAAGCAAAAAGGTTTAGAGCAAAAAGGGCTGAATAAAAATTCAAATCCCTGCCACACTTTTCAGCTTTTTATTTGTGATTTTTTTTTCGCTGTGTCCTTTCCTGATAGATGTGCAGAGCTTTGATTTGTTCCATCTCAGATAATCCCAATGAAATGCAAAGTATGGTAGCCTGGGTGGGTCAATCTTTTTTTCTGTTTATCAGTTTAATAATTGGAGGATTTTCATAGAAAGGAACAGAATAAAACAAACTGTGAGGGATGATTGAAGACTTTTGCACAGTCTGCACCTGTGAGCATCTGTGAAATGATGAGTCATGTTTGCTTTTCAGAGGAGGCCTCCCCCAGCAGAGAGGCCTCAGCACATCAGAGCAGCGGGCCTGGACTCACCGGAACCCCGTGTGGAACATGTACATCCTGGGCCCCCCGTTGGGTCCGTATCTGGCGGAGCCGGGCAGGAAGTCCTTCTTGATGGAAACGTAGCTGATGAGCGACAGGATGAGCAGCGCCAGGCTGAAGATGATGAGCCCCAGCGCGCTGGCGATGCGCACCATCCTGCCGCGCCGCGGGCAGCCGCTTCCCCGGATCACAGCCTCAGCGAGAGACCGGGAGGCGGCGAGGAAGGCGGGCATCCAGGCGCGCCGCATCAGCGCGCCGCATCAGGGAACCGCGTCTGCGGCGCAGCGAGGACGGAAAGGCGTCTGACAGAGGTTCATGCGGGGGTGGGGGGGGGGGTAGCGTTACCTCACAGATGAAGCTGCGGGGATGCAGGCCGCACAGGAGACTCAGCAGCTTCACGGACGCTCCGAATCTGGAGCCTCATCTGCAGAGGAACAGGCGTGACGCACGCGCGCTCCACGCGTCCTGTAGGATGGAGATGCAGGAGGGGAGGAGGGTTCTCCTCCAGGCATGGCGGCTCAGATTACAGACGGTTACTCATCTTCCTGCAAGGCGCTGAGATCAGGGAGGCAGAGGGAGGATGGATGCTGCTCTTCATCTGCATCCTTCCTCCTCCTCCTCCTGCTGCTGCTCCTCCTGCTGCTCCTGGTTCAGGGTGATTCATTAAAATGGTGTCGCTTTAAGGAGAAGCAGCTCCTGGAAGGTTGTTCTCAGATAAGCATGCAGCAACATGAGGCGGAGCTCAGGCAGAGAGAGAGGAGAGCATCCCAGGATCAGGCAGAGAGCAGAGTCAGCAAGAAAAGGCTGAAATCCACCTGATCACAGAAATACAACCTTTGGCAATTATTATATGTAGAAAAATATTAAAAAATACATATTTGCGTTCTGCTTTTATGTTTTTTAAAAATAAATATACAATCTTCAATTTAACCAACAAATCCAGTGTTTTTTCAACAGCTATAGGCCTAATTAATTTCTCATTCCTTTCATTTTTCACCTTACTAAATGTATGTTATTGTTTTATTATATTTGTATTCATTTGTTATTTGATTTTTATTTTAAAGTCCAAATAGATCCTTCTGTAAACACATAATAAAATCAATGTTTTCTTTTCATTGAGTCTTTAGTTGTGATTCTGCTGAATTTAGAACCTTCTAGATCAGGGATAACGGAGACATTTTAAATTATAATACGTTATTTTAAACCAAATTTAACGCTGAAATAAAATGATGTTTTATGCATGTTATAAACTGAATTTCTAAATAAAAAAATATAATAAAACATTTTTTTTTTTTTTCATTTTTAAATCTAAAGTGTTTTTTTTTTTAAGAAGAGAGCAACAATCACTCAGTTTGGTTTATAGATAATTTCCTGATTCCCATATTTTCTCAAACCCCTGAACTGATGGTTTGTTATTTTCTTTCTTTTTTCTGTCTTAATGTTGGCAGTGGGCTTTAGGCTGCCCTGCAAGGCTTTAAACCTGGGTTTAACCGGAGACTAAGCCATTCTCAAGCACATATCAAGGAGCTCATTTTGAGTCTGGATCCAGATTTATTGTTGATTCTGTTCATGGTGGAGAATCCTGCTTCACAGCAGCAGGTTGAGCCAAACATCCTCTAAATGTGCAGGGTCATCTTTGAGCACGCCATTTCACTTTTCTTTCACCAGTTCACCGCAGTTCTTCCAGCAGTCCACACTTTCTCTGCTCTCTTTTTCTCATGGTCTTCTCCTTCTTTCCCATCGCCCGGCTTGCCACAGGTTTGCCTGCTGTGTCTAAAAGTAGCAGCAGCAGCAACCCAGACTGACAGCTCATTGGCTCATTTGGATCACGTGCAGCCTGGAGCCGGACGCTCCCCAGGGCTTTACCGTATTAACAGGAGAAGAGGAGCAAGTGAAATTAGGCTGCTGCAGAAGGGTTAACTTTAGCCCTGGCTAGACGATGGAGACAAGGTGGACATGTTTCTGGTTCTCTGATGGAGGATTAGACGGTAAATCTTGTCTTAATGAGAACTTCTCAGTCTGCTGGTCCAAACTGCTCTGTTAGCAGAACCAGACCAGGGAGATTGGGTCATTTAGAGGCAGTGCAGTACTGCTAGTAGCCTTTGAGGTGCTAAACCAAGCGGTTCCAGGTCTAGTGCCCCTAGTGGCTAAAGTCATACAGTGTTTCATTTATCTAGGAAGGGAATCAAAGCTACTCAGCGAGTCGCATTAATCTGGCATCTGCCTGAAGGGGGCACCCTTCTTTATGCGCTCCTCCTGATTGAACCTCTATGAGCTCCAGCTGTGAGGACACACCTGCCGGTGACACCTGTAACCAGCGGCAGTGAAGCAGACCCCCCCACAGCCCTGTGGACCTGCCAGCGTTCTGCTGCCATGTTGGTTTTAGAGGAACGAGTCTTTCTCTCAGTTCAGATACAAATAGTTGCTTCTCAGACTCTTTTTAACCTGACAGTGTTTTAAAAAACACACGTTTGATGACATCAGCAAACTGACCTGATGATGATGACATTAATTATCTAATCAGCGCATTAGATGACCTGAAGGTTCATCCGTGTTTGATGAATAAAGCTGAGAGGACGGCGTCATGTTCTGAGCTACAGTCTGGAGGCAAAACTGGAAAGAAAAGAATAAATGAGACCAGACCCCCCCCCAGACAGACCTGCTGTCTGAACCGTGAGTGATGTGCCGCCAGCCTGCTGTCGTCCATCAGTACAGTGCAGGGTGCTCCATTCTGTTCCGTTTCCACTCCCCTTGCTCGTCTTCAGAGGCGAGCGGCTTCAATTCGGAGGCCGAGATGATGAATCACGAAGGTGGAAGCAGCATTCTTCACTGTGACCTTGATAATACGACCGAGGCTTCGTTAGAACCTGCCCTCTGCTTTCCTTCAGCTGCTAACACCCAGATAATAAATACCTGCTGCAGCCCTGACTGAGTTACCTTCATCAGATCAGAGTCTTCCTCTCAGTGTTCATAGCTGCAGGCAGATATACAGAACTGGTTCATTATTTATCTGCTTCATGTGTTTGTGAACTTTCATCATGGCTAATAAAGGAAAAGTCTGGTCAGCAGGAAGGAATAATCATTGGATCATTATTTATACCTAAAATTAATACCTTCATGGTGATTTAATGAATTTAGGGTTAATCAGTAAAAAAGTAATAATTTCCGTCGCACACACTGAGTCTGGGAGCGGCCATTTTTCCCCAAATATAGTAGCCCCTCCCTCCTGCCATCTTCCAGCAGTGACGTCACGGTGCGGTAAGCCTAGCGCCATTCTCCCCGCTTTCCAAGCTAAATCAATGGGAACTACTAGACACATCTGCAATCAACAACAATTATTGAAGATTTCCAGAGGACTTCACCATTGAAATTCACCAGAGCTATAGTGAAACTGACAATGCCCACGTGCATGGCAACTGGATGCTGGAATACATCGGGGAAAAGTGAAAAAAAGAGTTATTCCAGCTTTTCGATTCTATTCAGTTTATTTCTATAGCTCCAATTCACATCATGTCATCTCAGGTCACTTTCCAGTTCACCAGATCATCCAGTCAGATTGATTCAAAGTTTTCTATCTAAGGAAAACCAGCTGATTGCATCGACTCATTGACTCTTCAGCAATCCCTCACACTAAGCATGCTTGTAGCGACAGTGGAGAGGAAAAACTCCCTTTGAACAGGAAGAAACCTCCAGCAGAACCAGGCTCAGTGTGAGCGGCCATCTGCTGAGGCCCACTGGGGTTCAAGGAGACAGAAGCAGACATAGAAAAAGAAGCATAGATACAAAAGGCAACTGTCAACCAGCTCCACAGGCGGCCCCGTCCAGGAAACACACAGCCAGGCAGACGAGCTCCGAGCCAGCTCCCATGTCAGAGGATGAAGAGAGCACATCCAGTTAGTCACAGTCAGAGAAACAGGACTACACTGGAAAACAGGCCAAGCTCCAACATCTAGAAACAAAGGTGTTGATGGCAGCAGCACAGCTGATATTTCTCTCCATGATGGAGTCACAGCCAAACAGGAACAGACCAGATGAAGCTACTATGAGAAAAAGCAGAGAGAGCAGAACGTTAGAGATTGAACTAACAGATTCTGCAGAGTGGGAGAATAGAGATAGAATGAAGCAGAAGGATGAAAAAGGGGTCCCTATGTCCTCCAGCAGTCTAAGCCTATAGCAGCAGAACTATAGAGATAGCTCAGGATAACCTGAGCCACTCTAACTAGAAGCTTTATCAAAAAGGAAAGTTTTAAGCCTAGCCTTAAAAGTAGACAGGGTGTCATTTCGATTTCTTAAAGTGCAGCAGTGATCAAATGTAAACATTGTGGGAGAAAGAAAAAAAAAACATTGATATGGAATTTCAGAGGATTAAAATATATATGGTGCAATTATGCAGAGTTTTGGTTTGGTGTTATCAGTTCATCAGTGTGATGGCGGTGGGGAAGAAGCTGCTGCAGAACCTGCTTTGTTTTATTATCTTATATCTGATTCCAGATCAATCAGGCTGAAATGATTGGCTAAAGGTGTGACCTGTAATAATACTTCAGTGATTTTATTTTTAATTATTTTACTTCTCTAATAAAGTTAAGAGGATGATGTGGATTAAAATGTGGGACTAATTAAACTCTGTAGGATTTCAGCTCTTTGTGTAGATTGAGGCCAAAGACCTTCATCTTCTCATCCAAACCATTTTCCAGTCCTTCTCTAGATGATTTAGATCTGAGCTCTAGAGAAACATCCGTCCTCCAGTTCAGTCCGACTCTTTTGTCTTGTCTGAAGCTAGAGCAGCCTGGGGGTCCAATGAGAGATTGTAGACCGTTGAGAAAGGGACAAATTAATCAACTTCAGGGGAAATGATCTGTAAAAATGACAATCAATATCTTTCACTCACTGACTGAGCTGGTTAATCATTGACTGGATCCCACTTAAAATTAGAGCTTAGACTAAAACTCCCAGATTAGCTGGTGAGTCTTTGGTGTTTTCCTGATAGTTGCTATCACCAATGGCTTATGTTTAATGTTTATGTACGGCCATGATGCAGGATTTCTCCAAAGTTTAGAAAGACAAAGCTAGCTGCTGCCTGCTAATATTACCCTGCTTAACAGTAACATAAGGCATAGATAGAAGAGACGTCTTGATTAATTAAATTCTATTCCTCCATCAGAACCAGGCTCAGTGTGAGCGGCCGTCTGCTTAGAACGACTGGAGTTTAAGATCCCAGATTACAGCATAATCTCATCCACAGTCGTTCAGGTTTCTAAGATCTATGATCAACATCATTTTTATCTATTTTGAACCGGAAACCAACACGAATGATACGAATTTTTTTTAAACGTCACTTTTATTTGAGTCTCATGACCGCATTTTCACACTAGATAGATAGATAGATAGATAGATAGATAGATAGATAGATAGATAGATAGATAGATAGATAGATAGATAGATAGATAGATAGATAGATAGATAGATAGATAGATAGATAGATAGATAGATAGATAGATAGATAGATAGATAGATAGATAGATAGATAGATAGATAACAGTGCAAACCTCACGTCCCTCCTCCTTTTCCAACCTCCCTCGTTCTAACTTTTTATTTCCTCCCCCTCCTCCCTCCTGATGTGTAGTAATATGTAGAGATGATGACCTATTGATTTCTTCT